TACACACACACACACACATATATATATATATATATACCTTTCATATATCTCCACTACTGATTGAACTATAATATGCATCACCCTGCCAGATACCCCCACAGCTATCCAAACTGAGGTGTCCGCAGGGGATGCGACCATAACAGGACTGATGGGGGTCCCAATCCCAATCCCAACAGACACCAGTAAAGTTGCGCCACGCACGCCCAGAAGGCGAGTTCTTCCCCCGAGCACTACAACCGGACACGCTCAGTCCGATAGCACACTCTACGAGCCATCCACAACCACTCAAGCTCCGCCCAATGAGTCACACAGCCACGCACGCGCTGATGCCGGAGCACAAACACACATGCTGAAGACGCGGTCAAACGTGCCTGTGATGGAAGGGGGCGGTGGCGATGAGGGGTGTGGGTTTGGGGCGACCTATTCGCTGCCCATACCACAGGACACGAGCAAGGTAGCCTCCCGGACCCCACGACGGGCGAGGCCTATGGCGTTGGTGAATAAGAGTGTGGGAACTGAGGACCGTGTACAGGATACGACGGTTGCCATGGCAACCATTGCGAAAGGCGGGGATGATACGGATGTGGCGGAGGGGAATGCCGGGAGTACCGCGGGCTCGACCGGCCCTAAAGCTAAAGGAGATAGTGGAGATAATATAGACTCACTGACAAACTTGACCTACAACAAGGACATTGATATAGAGAGCATTCCTGGATGATTGATAGATTATCTACACACACGACTCGACATTAATATAGTGAGCTTCCCAGGACTGTGCCGAGGCGGGCATGGGCGAGTCGTGTGCTAAGTGTAGTAAGGTATCGTGGGGGCAGAGTATAATAAGAAATTTAAAGGTTAAACGAGGTGGAAAAGGCTTATATAGAAGTGGATGTAGCTTAAGAGGACGAGTGTTGTACACTGTCTTCACCTAGACGTATTCCAATTGCTAACGGTTTAGCGCAGGAACATAGATAAAAGTAGCAAACATACCGTATGTCGAGCCGAAGGAGTATTTGTGTGCCTTAGGTATTGCTTAGCGATAGAATCAAACCCTATACTAACCGCACAGTTCTTATACGGACACATATCCCAGCACTTTTGGCATACATTCTAATGTACTTATGTAGGGCTAGATATATCTGATGGCATTCGTAGGATATACATGGGGAATTAGTGTGCATATTCACCTTCTAACAAAAACATGAGCTCACAATAGGAATATCTCTACAGTGTATATATCTATGGAAATATATAAATATATATATATATACATATATATAGATATATATATATATATATACATATATACATGTGTGTGTGTGTGTTATATTTATACATATATATATAAAACATATATATATATATATATATTTATATGTATATATATTCATATATATATATATTTATGTGTGCGTGTGTCTAGTTTCTGTACGTATATTACTGATATATAATATCTGTGCCATAAACAAATTTAAACACCTTAAAGTTATATCAAAAACAATCCATGCTTGTGCATTCACGTTGTATTTCGTTTATAGTGTAATAAATTATGCTGCCACTTACACTATTCTTGCGCTGGACCTTATTGACTTACTGCGCCTCTAACTGTCTTCATCCCCTCATATTAGTATGATATACTGTCACATGGCCACTGCTTGCGCTGGCTGAGCCCTTTTGTCTGCATTGACTATATACTACAAACTTTATAGCAGCCGTTGTTATTGACTCCGTTGCTAGGCGACGCCCTTGGATCGCCGTACCGGGCCATCTGGTTAAGCGTATCATGATGTGCAGCGGCATGTGTCAGGATGCGGTCTGGTGATATCCTGCCTCCGCTAGATACCTCTGCGTCTGAATAGGATCCGTCCTCCCCGTCTTCACTGATCGACTCATTAAATACGATGGCCGAGTGCTGCATCGAGTTATTCGATGTCGAGTCCGACATCTGCGAACCCCTAAACCCGCGGAAGTGTTTGTTGTAGAAGTTTGATGTCGGTCTAGATATAGGAGGAGATACGCCCTCCATGTGATCCCAATTGGAGCCAGACGAACTAGAGGATCTGTACCCACCCGATGGATCGAACATACTGTCTCTGTGTCCCGAACTTTGCCGTCCATACACTGAATTGTTCGGTGCGAAGATCGACTCGTGGGATATGGTACTTCTCAATTGGCTGGAAGTGTTGGCTGATTGGTCCCCGTAAGGCGAACCGCCGGGTGTTCGCACAAAGTCGCTCATACTTCTACTTAGGTTCCATGTCTGGCCGATTTCCTTGTTTAGTTTAGCGTCGTGTACTACTGCCTTACGAATTTCCGTAGGCCATCTCACGAAGGAGAAATAATAGCAGATGAAATAGGCTATAAACAGAGGTCGGATGAGGATGAGGTACGGCAAGGAGAAGATCCACGGGAACGCAATGGCCGTCTCTGTTCTTGTCTGCATGTGGGGCTTTCGTAGGCAGGCGTAGTTAAGGTACATCTGGGCGGTGTATAGGAAGCCTAAGTAAATGATAGTCATGTCTATCGTCAATATCATCATACTGCCGAACCAGCTGGGGATCCAAATCGCGGTATACAGAATAACACCGATGTACAGATATTCTCTTGCGATACTTATCAATCTCCAGAACGTGATCAATCTGGCCACCCATTTCGCACGGCTTGTCAAGCCACCGGGTGAGATTAAAAGTTTGACAAAGCGCCACGTGAAACTATGGTTTCCTACCTCCCAGGAACGGAAGCGCTGGGCAACAAGGGATGCTTCGCCACAATCACGACTACACTTACGATTGGGAAAATACTTCCGGGCAGTTGGATTGGGCATGAAGTCCCAGTAGTGAATAAAGCAGAAGGGAACGATAGTTGGCACGAAACAATCCCGCATCACAGCTATCTTGTGACCTCGCTTTGCGGCACGGTTTATGGTGCGGACATGTTGCCTTCTCCTCTTGTATTCGGCTTCTGTCAGTTGTGTGTCAGCCCCAACAGCGCTCATGTTCGAAATACAGCTGTGTAAGTTTCCGCCAGAGTCCACCGAAGCCCGTGAGTTACGACCAGAGGAATCGCTTGAGACTGCATACCCCATAGAATCTTCGCCGTAGTTTAAATCTTCGGTTGCAGAGCTATATCGATCTATATTCTCCATCATTTGCTGACTGCGATCATTACGAATGACTGCGCCTTCCTTGTTTGGCTTGTCCTCTTCAAATGTTGGGAGGTACGCAACATTCGCTAATAGTTTGTTATCACGACCAGATAGTCTATGTGTAATATAGCCCATCTCTAAGTCCTCGCCATTGAAGGTAGTATCGTGCCTGAGTAAAACTTCCATCAGCACCTCTAGACGCCATGTAGCTGCCGCTCCACTGCAGAAAAGATTCGTTCCCATCGTATCTTGCAAAAATCTGTTAACCCCTGCATCTCCCATCAGGTATTCGTGCTCTTGGAAGCGAGTCCATACAGTATCAGATCCATTTTCGGCATAGAGGGGGTAAGCGATTGCTACTGTTGCTTTGTCCTGTAAATGTATTCGAAGTAGTACTAAATCTTATTACTTATGATCTAGCGCGGTGTCGATGTGGAATGCAAGCTATCTATTATTATTTGCACATGTGCTACACCAAAGTAAGTCATCAAAATGTCAGATACAGCTGGTCATATCACACACCTTAAAGATCTTGTCGCACTTATGGGATGCCCACGTGGATGGCCATATTACGTCGTCATCCAGAAGAGTCACACAATTGATCGCCAAGGACGACAATTCACCACCAGACTGAACTGCATCGATTCTGAAATCGGACATCTCTTTCACAAGTGCATACTGAGCCCAAGTTTTGTTGCCTTTGTTCAAGTGACTCAGATTAATAGGAGGCCCGTCATAGTCCGGATGAGCCTCTTTGAACTCTGCGGTTGCCTCATCGCAGACTTTCTGAGTTTTAACGCACTCTAGTTGTGTGGATCCGTTGTCGGCTAAAAACAGCTGCCACGGCTCGATATGTTGCAAGATAGGTCGGATGGTGTGGATGATATCTTTGCTACTATTATGGCACACTACTATAAACCCATGCACCAGCTCATCCTCAATGGGTACTAATTCAGTTGCACTGTCTATACTTCCGCTGAATTTCACACTGTGAGGACTGTCCAGCGACGTGTTGGACGCGCGGGCCCCACTTTCGTTGAACTCATGAGCTTCGCCGATGGTGAGATGCTGTCGCTCTGCATCTGTAATGGGGTTGTTTGCCGTGGACTGCAAGTTCTCATCGGTCCACTGTCCGATTGTTACAATTCCCGCTAGAGAGGGAATCAGAATGTCGATGAATGCAAAAAAGTACAGGAATATGAACACAGACATTGTAGGTCTCAACGCCGGATGCCAGGTCCAGTAGTGGCAGATGTACCAGATGAAATTGAAGAATTGCGATGGCGACACCCATTCGTTATCGTATTCGAAGGCAGCGGAAATATACAGTGCGAGGATGCAGCTGATAGCGGTCACATAGCAGAACGTTGTCAGTCCCCAATGTTTAGAGTGAATGTATCGAGTAGTGCCGGCCGCGAGACGATCTGCATCCTCGGGGTTGGGATAGTACTTCAGTCGAAGGTGAGTATACAGCCGGAAGAGTGGTATAGCTATTCCAGCGAACGCAAACCAGAAGATGAATAGTGAGCCACCCACAAGGAGCAGATAGGGATGTAACTCTACGTACCAGATATTAGTGTCCCGGTCGTAGTTAGCGGGGAATGGTGTGTCCATGGTGGTGCCGTTGATTTCGTTCATGATAATATATTATTGGAATACTAACCGAGTATTTTTAGTGCTTGAGTTGCGGAGAGTGAGACTTATGTCCAACCTTTTTATACCTAAATGAGGGTATGAAGTACATTTAGCAAATGCACTTTTGTCGGGTTTGAATGAAGGTATTTACTGTATTGAGAACGGAATGAATCGATAACGCTACTTTTTTAAAGCCTAATATCTCACTTATATATCTGTGCGTGCGGCGTGAGGCTGACGCTCAGACTCTGTGTTGTATTTAGCGTTGGGAACTAATGGACATATGGCATGTTATACACATATTAGTCCAAAAATATATTTAAATTTAGAATTAATCCAATTGTGTTCGGCAACAGGTGTCGCTGAACTCTCAGCATAATAACTTTTTTAGTTTTTAGGAACGGATAATGTTTGCAACTTTTCTATAGGACTACAGATATAATGATGTCCCACAATAATAAAATCAAGGACTCTCTTTGGAATTTGGTACGGGCATTCTGTACCCATATACTTTGAACTTTATTACGTCGATCCGGGAGAGGGTTACTGCCGCAACTACATTCACATTATTTACACTGTGTTGTTTCCTTCACTACTGTTTGTCACTCATGAATTTCCGAGATGACCATAGAGTCCACAACAATAAAAATAAAAAGTAGATTGACGGAATTTTATGAACTACATATTCTATAAAAAAAACAAGACAAGAACTATTATTTAATTGTACCGGAGTCCCGACCCCCGAGACCCGAGCCTGACACCTATATTATAAATATATCCTCCTGAGTAGCCCTGACGAGGCTGACGGCCCCTGAGTCTTTAAAAGTGCGTTTTATTGAATCATTGTGCCTCTAATCGGCACTGCACTGATTTGTGATAGCTCTGGTGGCAGACAGTTGGCAAATATGAATTAGGCACTCTGGCAGTTCAATGCACGTGTGCTATTGCATTAAAATCATTGTTTGTTGACAAGACGATTCTATCAAATAACAAATTACTCTTTGTTGTTTGTAAATACCAGAGAGCCTTTGACGAAACTAGATGCAGTTTCCTGTTGGGGGGTCGGGCACTGGGCAATGGGTTGCCAAGCAGTCGGTACTCGACACTCGGGACCAGTCATAAATATTAAATTGCTGGGGATGTCCAGGCTTTTTAGGCCACTGCCCTATCAGTTCGAAGCTCAGACAGCTCCAATCATTACACATTTCATCGTAGCTTCAGACTCTGAGACTTTTAGTGCCGCAGAGTCGCAGACTGCATGTGTAGAATTATTTAGATGCGGGCTGCGAGCTGCGGGCTGCGGTATTTTTGGTTTTTTAAATCTTACTAATAAAAAGTGCTACATTTATTTTCTTGTTCAAACCGAAATTGCGGAGATCTTCATCATCTTTGGCGAGTCACTGAATCCGGAATCCGGAATCCGGAATTCCAAACGGTTGGAGTTATAACCACTACTACTACTAGTAGTATAGTAGTAGGACGGTATGATAGCCCTGATAGTTGATAGGACCTATTTTTAAATTCATCGTCGAGAGCAGATGACAGTTCTCCTTGTACCATTCGCTGAAATTATCAGTTGAAACTTGAAAACACTCAAAACAGACTAGTTTTTTTTAAAGTTCATAACAGTTTACTTTCAGACTTCAGAGTTCAGAAGTTCAAACTCGAAACTTCAAAGTTCAGACTCTCGCAGAGTTCAAGTTCACAGTTTCACAATCGAAGACATTAGACAAATGTTAATAAAAAATAAATACCAGTCATGTCACCAGTTTTCTAAAAACAAACAACTATAAAAAACGATACAGTTTTTAAAATTGTTTTGTAAAAAAAAATGTAAATATTTATTTACGAGGCTGGCTATGAACTATAATATACAGAAGGCTATTTATGATATTTATTTAAAAACAAAATAGAATTTATACATACACAAGTCACAATATTTAAACAAAAACCAAAATTTAAAAAAAGCTTCAGACTTTTATCATTGCTCTTTGTTGTGCTTATGTTTTGTTTTAAAAAACAAAACAAAATTTAAAAGGAAGGCAGCAGGCGCGCAAATTACCCAATCCTGACACAGGGAGGCAGTGACAAAAAAATAACAGTACAGGACTTTTAAAAGCCTTGTAATTAGAATGAGTACAATTTAAACCCCTTAACGAGTCAACGAGGAACAATTGGAGGAAAAAACATAAATTAGAGTACATATGTATTTATGTATTTAAATACAGATCTATACAACAATATATTTACTATTTTCTTGTGCATACATATGAATCCCCCCACAGAATGAATGAATGATATAGCTCGCTACCATGTATGCACTATGCAGTATGAAACCGTACATAGTACCAGCTAAATACTTTTCTGATCGTTACAAAGTATTTAGAGTAGTGAACTATTAACCCTATTTACATTGTTTTTAGAAACAAATTTAATAAACATGCAACAGCATAATCACTGCATGATGCATCACTGCATCAGCCATCATTGATCACTCACGAGGCCATAAGCCATCTGACTATCAGCTATCACTGCAATCAAAGACTCGAAGCCGGTTTGGACTCTCAGAGTCCCAGTTGAAGATATTTTTGATATTTTTTATTGGAAAACGAAAAACAGCACGTAACAAGTCACACAGACACACACACAGGCATACATAGTATCACAGACATACAGAGTCACAGACACACAAGAGAGGGGTTCAAGAGAGAGAGAAAACTCAGAAAAGAGGAGAACGTAAATACTATAGATGAAAAACAAAACAAAAAGAGCCGCTGCCGATTCCGAGAGTCCTAATAACTTTCGAGTTCCTCAATAGGCAATATGGACACCTCTCGACTCTCGAGAGCTCTACAACGATGCAGACAACAAGTCAATAAAAGTGAATAAAATATGATCAGTATTGACTATTGAGACTTGAGTATACATTGTGAAATATTATCGTCACAATGACAATGGCCAACTTCTTACTACTTTCCTGGCTTTTATTCCTTTTTTTATAAATATATTTATAAATACCCTTCTTGTACATATATTTACTGTGCGTACTTTTAAGGTTTTAGACTTCGTTCTTTAAAAATACTCTCTCTCGCGGGGAGAGGGACAGTCGTTGTGATGACTCTTGAAGCCGTCGATCAAAGCCCAAATTGTTTGTTATATATTTATTTACATATTTGTCTTATTGTTTTTTTTAAAACAAAAAAAGTATATAACTCAGAGAAGTAGTTGCCAGGCCCAGTTCACAGTTGCCACTTGCCACTGCCAGAAAAGCAATAAAATAGTATACAATAACGCACTCTATCAACGCCGTATCACGCTCTCAAATTATAGTGTGATTAATTCTTCCTTTTTTAAAATGAACATAAATACATCGAAAGAGCATACATGCAATACAACTTAAAGTTTGCTGACAGTGCGAAGCAAACTCAGTGCTATTGTATATATGGAAATCAAAATTAATATCATCCCAACGATAGTACACAACAATGAAACTGCTGAACAACAAAGTCGTGGTCGCTGCCGTCATCTGCACAGCAGCTGCCACGCCGACTCCCCTTAATTATACTCGAGATGCACAAGCTGTGAGGTGTGTTGAAAGGGGTGGCTGGTACTATGTTGAGAACATCCCAGCAGAAGTGAAATGTATCAGTTTAGACCCCAATATGTACCCGCGCAGCCAGACTGACACCATTCCTCGATTTAGAAGGGGTTCTGGCGTATTCACCTCGTCGATTCCTATCGCGCCTGTCGATCGCGCCGATAGTATTAACGTGCGTGTTTCAGGCTACTCACACTTTCATTATGACCCGACTAATAGTCTCCTTGGAGAATTAGGAGATAAAAATGATGCGTATGTCGAAGGGTGCGATGAGACAAACTCAACATCTAGAACTTCGATGAAGAATATAGTTTGCCTTACAGCCACTAATGTGAGTAGTATTCCCTCAGCGATTTCAGCCATCGTTACTTCTTTCGTATCCGACCTCCCAATCATGACGATGACATTGACTGATCTAAACAACAGCGACTTCGGCCTAGAGGCCAAACGAAGTATGGTGTGGAGTTTGCACTATCCAGTCAACCACACGCGACATGCGTCTCCGTTTGTTGGCATACTTGGCAAGGCCGAGTACGCTGGCAAGAGTTCCCTAGAGATGTCTTCGAAAAGAGGCTATTCTCTATCAGTTATCGATGCGGTTGGTAATGATAGAGGCATTGACTTGGGTCTCGCGGGTATGGCGCCCGAAGCAGACTATAAACTACGAGGGACCATGCTGGATAAAACCTTAATGAAAGACATGATTGGTTTCACAACATATGCGGCCACAGGCCGGGTGTCTATGAAAGGTGCACCGATTGAATTATACGTCAGACTTGATGAGAAGTATGCAGACCCGAATGTCGTGGATGAGACTCATTATATGGGAGTCTACATGTTGGAGGAGAAGATTAAAAGAGGCGATGATAGAATCCCGATAAGCAAAACAAAAGCGTCCACACCAATAAATGAGACGTCGTTTATTGTAAAGAGAGACAATTTCCACGAAGGCGACGTCCAATTATTGAGTGGCGGATCCAACACCCAGGCAAACGTGATGCTTTTGGAATATCCAAAGCCCGATAAGGCCACGCCAGCGCAGGTCCAGTATATTCAGGATTACTTAGAAACCGTCGACAACATGATGAAATCCCCTAAGATGAACGATGCATTTCAGCAGATGATAGATGTCCGCTCTTTCGTTGACCAGCAGCTGGTACAAGAAATGCTGCTGAATGGAGATGCATACAGGAAATCAACCACTTTTTATAAGGACGCAAACGGCAAGTTCACTGCCGGGCCAGTGTGGGATTTTGACCTGTCGCTGGGGCACGAGTGGAATTTGGTCAAAGCCTCCAGCTCACTCGGATATGATAGATACGAAGGATTGTGGTTTAAGGAATTGAACCAGAACCCAGAGTATAAATGTCTGGTGAATTGTATGTGGCGACAGTACCGCGGAACAATATTCAAGTCAGACACTCTACTGGAGATGATTGACTCACAAATACCAATCTTGTGGAATCCTGCTACGAGAAATTTTAAGAGATGGGACGTGCTGGGGCGTCCACTGGAATTGTTTTTGGATTACACCGCTGAAAACCAATGGTTATCAACCTGGGATGCTGAGGTGGTTGCGATGAAGCAATTCTTGGTGAGTCGATTGACCAATCTGGATTCTATATATACGGTGAATGCAACCGTATGCAACTGTCTGACTACCATGTTATCAATCCGGTAAGTGTTGGAGTTAAGTCGGACAATACAGCACATGGAATATAGATATCAAATTAAAAAAACTAGTATTAGCTGATTCGAAATATTCCTTGTTCGCTTGTTAGTTACAACGACAATCTACAGACTTGTCCGAGTTTATTTACATCGTCAATATGTTACAGACTTGTTCGAATTTATATAGAATGCCGTGCTAAGTATACGTGACTTGAATCCTAGAGTAGAATGATATTTGCGCTTGTGCGACAACGCTATGTCCAGAAAGCTAATACAACGTATGTGAGCATTTTTTATGATACTCCGTGTGATACTGAGATGTTGTAAGGAGACATGAACATCGTTACTGCCACTATTGTTGCGACATATGTGACAATCGCAGATCCTTGCGACGTAGTGTCCAACGGACTTCAATACGGTGACATGCACTGGCCACTGTATATGCATTCCGTTGCTTAAATGAGAGAAGCGGGTTGGTAAATAGAAACCGGAACAGAGGGAAATCTTGCAGCAGAGCGATATACCTGTGTCAAGTCGCATTGAAGCTATCGATGCCTCCGATGGGCACGTACAAGCCAGCAGATAAGTGCAGGTCCTCAGGTGAATCCAGAAACAAGAAATGGGGACGGCTGGCTCTGGAGATATACCCAGCTATACCAAGAGCTATTAAATACAAATTGAGTAGTCCTTGTTGGTGCAATATGAGTGCCGATATGCTTGAGATGACTATACAAGATATCATGTACTGTGGAATCAAGCTGGACTGGGATATAACCTTGAAGTCATCTCTCTGGCATGATGGACGCCACTGTACCGGCAACCTAGGTCGCACTCCCCTCTCATGAATCGGCATGTGGGTCTAGTCTGTGTGAGCTTGACATTCAGAAGTACAACCTACCGTCCATTAACATACGCTGTGTGCGAATCACACCCACCGAATGCACAATTAGCCCATACTTTATACCATCCCGCTGGTACTTCTCATCTTCTGACAACTCTTGGGCCGTGCTATCTAGTTGCACTCCTTCAGCATCGACCTTTGCACCTTTCCACAATGATTGTTTCCCACGTGTTTCCTCCGTTGTCCTGTTAGATGCCACTTTCGGACTGGGTTTGTCCATTATACTGCTCCGTACTGTGAACTCAACCACTCCCGACGGCGTGCCTATGCGTACCGTTTGCTTCTTCTCCGGACTTGTCGCTGCATCGCCCTTCAATTCAGGGGCCGTCTTGGCGGACACACTATCATCATGTATGAACTCCGCGATAATCGAGCCAGGTACCACGGCAGCCACAGCCGCACACATACCCCCGGTCAACGGAATAGCCTTGTGGGGCTTGCCCATACTCAACATCCTGACGTGGATGTCCATCTCATCGTGAGACATACCCTGGCCCTTCGCCAATGAATCCGCAGCCGCGCTTGTCCCTACTATCGCAACTTTCGGTACCGAACTGGAGGCACTGGCAATCCCCATGGTATCGCGGGCTGCGATACGCACCCTCTCCAGAAGCTCCAACTCTCTTATCCGTGCCTCTAGCGCATTAGGCAGTTCGGTAGCCGTTAGGCCAAGATCACTTGCTCGCACAAACACACACGGAGTAGTGGCATCCACAATGCTGCACACAACCGAACCCATCCCCTCAATCTGCAGCGTGTCACATGCATTGCCTGTGGGGAGCAACCGCCCAGTCACCGCCCCTGCAGGCTCAGCGAACTCTAGCTCAACGGGTAGGTGCCGTTGGTCTACGCCGGGTATGGTCACAGTCTCATCCGTCCGCTCCTGTCCCGATGGTGTCCCACTGTCTGCACCTGCCGGTCCGTTTGGTGTGGTATTTGAACAGTCCTGTGTGCTACCATCGCGCTCATCTTGTGCTGGGTGTGGTGTACTATAGTACATACCATCGCGGTGCTGCGCCACGTGGAAACGTGATGTGATAAACTTGCCGGTGTTGGTATTCTTCAGGAGGAGGTCGATGGGTACAGGCTGTCCGTGGTTCAACACGTGCCAGCCCTGCCGGCAGGTAGAAGAGGAGTGGATACGTGCTGCTCTGTTTCCTGGGAAATCCAGAGGGCCGGCGCTGCCATGTTTCTCCATTACTCGGGTCGCTTTGTTCCACGTGGTTTGTCTTGGCACCAGTTGCCAGTCTACAGCCAACGGACCAATGCAGGTGGTCAGGTTACCACAGTTCCCGTTCCACTCTATTGTTTTCGAAGCGACATCCACCTGATATGTATGTCGTAATACATTATATCAATATTTATATCTATATTCATATATATATATATATATATATATATAGATATATATAGATGTATATATGTAAATATATAGATAGATATATTGATATATTGATATATAGATATATATATATATACATCAATATATACAAGTACATTCATATATATATATACTGTGAGTAACTAATTTAGTTCACGAACGGTTTAGAGTGAAACAACGTTTGTACTTTATAGGATCAAAGTAGTGTAATAGCTTACAAGGTTGCGAGGACTGATCATCCCACAACCTTGACACATATACCTAAAGCTAGACATTGCCTGCCGACAGACCCTCTGGTCACTGACGCAACTTCTCCTTTCTCACCATGTATTCCATCATACTATTGCAACTACACTACTAAATGTTTTGTGCTCTTCTTCTATTGGTCTACGCTTACCAAATCAGCTGTAGACATAAACCAATATCATAAGACACATAACATTTCCCATGCCTCCATCACTCTAAAAAAATCACCCCTCATACACCCGAACCATCAAGCATGTACCAGACACAATTCAGTTCTGCACACTAGCCTTCAAGCTCACTACTATCTGTAGACCACACCCATATTACAATATATATATATATATATATATATACCCAGTCACTGTATTGCGTCACAAAAGGTATACCAGCGCAAATATTTAGTACACGATGCGAGTGCGGCAGACGTGAAGTCGCGAGATAGGAATTTTCCAATCGTCCACGAATCTGTGGAGTATTCAACCCACATTGACCACAAGCAAGCTTCCCCATATGAACTCTATCACCATACCTGGCCGAAGGAATAATGTACCTCCGCACATTTAGCCACATGTGCCACTTTACGAGATCGCCGTGAAGCCTTTGGGGGTGTTGAGAGTATCATTACTTTCGATAGTGAGCTGAGCCCCCCACCCATGCCATTGAGTTGGCGTCCGTAGACATCGGGACTACCCATGGCTATAAATAGAATCGAAAGGGCACGAACGGTATAGATGTGTGGGTACACGCATGGAAGTATATGAATGAGAGCCATACGAGGCCACATCTACATAAGCAAGCGAGGTTATAAATCGAAACGAAAGGGCACAGATGATATACATCGGTGAGTACACGCATGGTAGTAAACTGATTGACAGCTCTGTAAATTACGCATGAGATGCAAACTTTCTCCAAGACTGACACGCGGGCTATCAGCCATGGAAGAGGCTAAGACTGTCCTGTACGCACGGCTATACTTGTATCTACCTAGCGCGGCCTCAGTACCGCCTTTGGATAGTCTATGAACAAACAGATAGATACAGCAAACTCCTCACCTTGACAGATGATGCTGTCTCGAAGCGCTGCATCCTTTGGCAGATCCTTCTCTCTGAAAAAAAGACCCTTGCTGGTCCCTGCAATAGACAAATAGGACTGATTTATACAGTCACTGTCTAGGATAAGACTCAGTATATTTATAGAATTATACAGTCACTGTCGAGGTTAGGACTCAGTCTATTTATAGACTTATACCTCACTGTCTAGGTTAGGACTCAGTCTATTTATATAATTATACGGTCACTGTCTAGGATACAACTCTCTCGTTCTGTCTAAACCCCACAAAGCATACAATCGTCACCCATATGGCATACCGCACTTTACGACAAGTGTGCCCCCCTATAAATCGTATCGAAGAAATAGATTCGTCTACTACTTCACTTCGGCATGAAAGACTCGGTTGGACCTACAAATGCTGTCTGGTGATACTAGGGTTGTCAACAAATCCGCAGGAGAAGATTAATGTCCTACTGTGAAGGAACCTGTTCACTGAGCACAAGGAGCACGTCTACCGGGGGTGAACGAGTAAACACCTATCTATGTATACACAGATATATTAACACACGTTTGCATACGTGACCCTGAGAAGACAGTCAGTATGTGCTCATCATGCAATGTTGGCACATACTGTTTGTGTAGACCCACGCTATATAAAACAATCCAAATGAACTATCCAATACATGCAAGGGCAAAAATAAAATAGAACAGAATCGAGCTTGCGACATGTGTGTGGAAATATACTAATACACCATGCTAATATCTATGATACATATT